CCCCCCATCCTTTTACTCCAGAGGCAATCTGGGCCTATTGTCCTCTCCCCGTCCCTACCCATTTTCTGATGAACTGAGCAAATGTTTATCCAGTTGTCTAAAACCAAGCTGGGAAGAGAGCTGCCGGCCTGGTATTATTAACTGAGCTGGGGAAGGGTCCCCGGGGCTAGGAGAAAGTACCTCCTGCCTCCCTAGAATCATGGGCCCCTGGACCCCATGGCTGGGCAGGAGGCACTTCTCACGGCACCCTCTCTTCCTGCCCTGCAGTGGTGACACTGTACCCATACACTGGCCAGAAGGACAACGAGCTCTCCTTCTCTGAGGGGACTGTCATCTGCATCACTCGCCGCTACTCCGATGGCTGGTGTGAGGGTGTCAGCTCAGAGGGGACTGGATTCTTCCCAGGTAACTACGTGGAGCCCAGCTGCTGACAGCCAGCCTGAGGCTCTCTGGGCTGCTGACTAGAGGCTCTTCTCTGAGTGAACCTCAAGCCCCAGGCCAAAGCCAGCTCCAAGGTCAAGCAAGGCTGGACTAGAGGAAGTGCCCAGATGCCTGCTGCAGACAGGAAAGAACTGGAAGACAAGGAGTCTGGTGATCTTGTCCACAGAGGACCCTAAGTCCACTGAGGGTGGGGTCTCCAGCTGCAAGTGCCAACTTTGAATAAAACTCTGTTGAACTCCTGATGATTGCCCTGCAGGGCTGGGGGGGCCAAAGGAGGGACTGAAAGGCATTTTGAGTCTAAGGCTCCTGCTAATTATTGAGGCCCCTCTGCCTGTTCCTAGCAGCATCTCTTCCATCTCTTCCACCCTCATTACATGCCCTCATAATGGACCTCTTGGTGCCCCCTGCACAGATGGGCCCCACCCCGTTCTTTTGCCTGTTGTTGGTTCAACCTTGGTTCCTCAAGCTGGCACTCTGCCAAGGGTGGGGACCAACTCCCTCACTTAAATGGGGCTCCCTGAGAACAGAGACCACCTCACCCCTCAGATTGCGGCGCCAGAGATCTCAGTCACCTCTTCCCCCTTCACCTGCTTTATAGCTCTGCTCTGGGACACCAGAGCGAGGAGGGGCTTGGGTTTCGCTGGCTCTGCTTTAAAACATCATGGCTTTCTGTTCCATACGGAAGGAGGGGGGCGCAGAGGGCCAAGCCCACGAGGGCGACTTTGGTGAAGTCCCTGGTCTTGCTGCATAGACGAGGCTGGGGTCGGAGGAGACACCGTGGCACCGCTGCGAGGTCCCCGGCTGGCCCGACCCGAGTCGGACAGTGTGCTACCTCGTCCCACCACCAGGAGGCGACGGTTCACTCTGGCTTTTCTTCCTTTGGGGTTGCTGGACGGGTGGGGGGGAGGAAGGGATGTAGTGTGGGCTCGCGGCAGGTGAAGCAAGATCCAGGCCTGGGGCTGTCGGCGGAGAGCTCCATCTCTCTCCTCTGGGTGTCCGATGTGGGAGGACTTCTCCTTGACCTAAGCCTGGGAGAGGGGAGGTTACGCGACCCGGGCAGCAGTTAAAAGTTCTCTCGCCCGCAAGGGAACCCCTTCCTCCCAGGTCGGAGGAGGAGGTGTGTGGAAACGCTGCCGCCTTCCCAGGTATGTGCACCACCCGAGCTGGGCTAGACTCCAGGATTTGACTATTTGCCGTGGATCTGAGGGAGGCAGCGGAGCTGGTTAAACTGCATAGATAGGGATGGCTCCGAACAACCTCCTTCAGGTCCCGAATGGACGGGCCTGGAATTCTAGAAATTCCCGGAGGCGGACATCCCAAAGCGAAAGGGGAAAGGGAGTTATAAAACTAGATGGTCATTCCCGGCCTCCCCTCCCCCACCTCGGCGGGCGCCCCCTGCAGACAGCCGGCTCAGCACGCCTTCAGCACTTGCTGCAGATGCAGGCGCACGTCGGTGGCGGTCTCCCAGGGCACCACGCTGGCCCGGAACGAGCTGGGCTCGGCCTTCTGCGCCTCCTGGATAAGGCGGTGCATGGGGTAGCCGCGGCGCGGGAACGCCACGTCGCCGCTGGCCAGCAGCCCCATGGGGCAGAAGTCGTTGGCGCCGTCGCCCACGTAGAAAAGGCGCTCGAAGTGCACGCCGTCCTGGGCGCGCTCCCGCAGGTAGTCGCCGAGCACTTTGTGTTTGCACATGTTGGCGGGGCAGCGCGCGCAGCTGTGCGTGTGGAAGGGCCGCAGCGTCAGCAGCCCCCGCGCGTCGGGCGCCGCCGGGTTGCTGAGGATGCGGCGGAACAGGCCGAGGTGGCCGGCGGCGCGCAGCGCGCTCTCCACGCCGAAGGTGTTGGCGTCCGAGATGAGAATCACCTCGAAGCAGGAGCCCTGCTTGGCCACAAACTGCAGCAGGTCGCCCATGCCGGGGGACAGGGGGATGGCCTCGTAGACGGCGCGCAGGTCCCGCGGCCGCACGCCCTGCTCGCCCAGGTGCTTGAAGACCCGCTGCATGTACTCGTTGTAGAAGCCCTCGCGGTAGGTGGCCCGCAGGCTCTCGGGCAGCCGCTGGCCCGGCGCCGCGCGCACTATCGAGTCGTCGCTGTTTTCGTCCACGATCGTCTCGTCAAAGTCGAAGGTGAGGAGGAAGCGCGGCGCGCCCGGCACAGCCATCCTGCCGTCCTGGGAGCAGGGGGGGGAAGAGCAGCAGCAGGAGGAGGGAGCAAGCGAGAGCGGGCGCGGCGGGCGCCGCCCCGGGAGAGGCTGGTTAGCGGGCCTCGGCCAGAGGCGCTGGCACGTCCAGGACCTGGGAGGACCCAAGGCTGGTCAGCTGCGGGAGCGCCCGACGCCGCGGCCCCACCCCAGCTCCCCGCCCACCCCCTTGGCGCCTCTGCGCTCCCAGCGCTGGGGTTTATCCTGAGGACCGTCCTCTTGAGCCCAGAGGGGCTCCCTTGACACCCGTTTCTGTTACTTTCATCCGGGGCCATTGGGACTTAGCGTGGTCATCTTAAAAGAGGGAAGAGCAGCTTCCAAGGGGACGCCCTTTAGGGACGGTTCTGGGCTAGACCTTCTCGAGACTTCTACTGACCCCAGTTGTTGGCGTGGATAACGGGAGGGTGGAGGGGATTCCTCACTCCCTCTTCCCTAACAAACAGGGAAACCAGCCATCCACTGGATGGTCACAGCCTCCACAACCCCCTTCTGGGCCTCGGGCTGGCTGTGGCAGACGGTAAGGAGCTTGGCTCCAGGGCAGACGTGTTGGCACCGTCCAAAGCATATGGCCAAAGAGTGCCAGACCTCAGGCCTGGAGAGTAGGTGCTGGGCCTCCGCACTGGCCAGAAAACTGGATCTTAGCTCTCAGAATAACCCGATAGGTAGACTGACTGCTCAAGACCCAGGCAGGCTCTCTGGGAGCTGCTTCCAGCCAGATGGGTCTGGGCAGGAGTCCAGGGATGGGACTCAGCTTTTCTGGGGAGTTTTAGGGCCCTGTTCTGATAGCTCATCACAAGTCACTTGCCAGTTCCCCAGAAGGACCGTGTCAGCAGGTGGGGTTCGTGCCAGAGTCCGAAGCAAGCGGGTAGCAGAAGCAATGGGGCTTGGGGAGGTAGGAGCCCCCCACGCCAGGCCACGACATACCTGGGAGACAGGCAAGGGAGAGGAAAGAGAGCAGCAGTGGCTGAAAAGGTGGAGAAGGTAGCGGGGGACATGGCACCAGTGGGGAAGGAGGGGACTGGGGGAAGTAATGATGGGGGAGCATGGAAACAGGCTGGACAGGAAGAGAGTGGGAGTGGAGCTCCAGGAAGCGGAGACCTTGGGTCGGAGTCATGTTGACAGGGGACATGGGAGAGAATGGGGACAACAGGGCAAGGGTGAAGGGACAAAGAAATTCAAGCAAATGGAGGCAGAAGCCCTCAGCAGCCAGTCCCTGCGGCCTGTGCCTGCCAGCGGGTGGGTGGACGGAGAGGCAGAGTGAGCAGGTCATGCACAGCCCCGGAATCCCACTGCACTGCCTCCCCCAGCCACGAGCCCCGATGAAACCACTCCTCTTTTTGGTGTCTTCCTAACTCCCTGATATCTCTGTGATGTTTATGGCCTGGCACACCTCGTGAAACAGAAGTCCAGGCTCCTAATTTCAGAGGTGGGATCTGAACCTGGCTATCTGCCTCCCGAATAGAACTGTCCTTTTGGCCTCACCCTAGAGTCACCCACTGCTCTCAGCAATATCCACCTGGGAGTCTCAGTGGCCCAGGGTCTCTAGAGTTGAGGATGTAAAACATCAGGACCCCTCAACTGGGATGGAAGCTTCTAGGGGTTAGTGGAGGCCCAGCAGAGGTGAGGGCAAGCCCGAAAGGGGCTAGATAGGGTCCCTCCCACCCCATGATGGAAACATGGAGGCTGAGGCCTCATCCTGAGACACCCTAGAGGGACCCACTTACCCTAGATAGGCACCGGAGGCCAGCAACTGGAAAACACCCGCTCATTGTTGGTATGTCACACTGAGAGCCACCTATAGGGACTGTTGGTCTCTAGCCGTCGTCCAGAGCTCCTGACAACCACACAAGTTCCGTTTGAGGGTCCCCAGTCAGCTGGCTTTGTTTCCACCACTAATGCTACCAGGCCTTATCCCCTCTGCAGAGCCCCAGGAACTATTCCCAGGAACTCAGTAAAAACAACCCTTCAGATGGGCTGAGTGCTTAAGACCACAAAGCCCTTGCTAGGCATCCTCTTAGCAATCCACTAGGATGCTGGAGAGGTTGTAGATGATATAATTAGAGACCCAGGAGTTAACCGACTTGCTCACAGGTCACTCACTCTAAATGGCAGAGATAGATTTCAAAACCAGATCTGAGCCCTGGTGGGTGTGGCTCAGTGGTTAGTGTTGGCCCGGCACACTGAAGGGCCCCGGGTTCAATTCCCTGTCAAGGGCACGTACCTGGGTTGCAGGTTCCATCCCTTGCCCTAGTCTGAGTGAGTGCTGGAGGCAACCAATCAATGTGTCTCTCTCACATTGATGTTTCTCTCTCTCTTTCACTCCCCCCTCCCACCCTTCCACTCTCTCTAAAAGTCAATGGGAAAAATATCCTCAGGTGAAGATTAACAACAAAAAAACCAGATCTGAGTCTGAGACCAGTGCTTTTTTCTCTGGTTTGATGGTTGCCCCTTTCTGTGTACAGTACAACAGTTTACAAATCACCTTCATTCATATTCTCTCACTGCTCATCACAGTTTCATGAATTCAGCAGATGAGAAGGACTCAGAGAGGTTAGATTACTTGCCCATGGCCATGCTGTGCCCATGGGGCAGAGCCTGGATCATGAGCACCTGGCCACAGCCTTGCCTGCCCTCTGTCCTCACAAGGGTAGGGGATGACCAGGCTCATTGTACCACAGCTGGGAGCCCAGACCCCTGAGCACCAAAGGTGATCTGGGACTGGAGTATCAGATTGACATTTCTGCTGGACTTTGCTATGTGGCTTTGGGGACAGGATTTGGCTTTGTGGGACCTTCACCAATGCAGCAGCTACAAAGGATACCACCTACAGCTCCCAATGACCCCCTCCACCTTAGGGTTGAATAGAAGACCAGAAGCAGCTGGGACAGATGTGCAAACACATTGAGAGCCAGGAAGACTAGACAAGGAAAGGAACAAAGGTCTAGCTGGCTGCTGCCCTCTGGTGTTGACAGTGGGTGACACTGGAAACACCCCTGATTTTGTCAAGGTGACTCTCCAGACCATCCTGGGATAGCAGAGAGAAGCTATTGCTACCAAGTCAGAGAGTGGGACATCCCAGGAGCAGGGCACAGGTCAGAGGGAGGGGTTCTATCACCTTGCACCTTCAGGTACCCCATCCCTCTCCACTTCGACCACACATGCAGGATGGGATGTGGGTCTCAGCCTTTGCGTTAAGAATTTTTAATCTAGGAATTGGGAGAGGTCACCAAAGCTAAATGGAGCAGTGGGCAAAAGAGGGAGGGGGTCGGGAGAGAAGACAAGGTGAAGATGATGGGAGAGAAAGGGAGGGAGGTATAGCAGCGAGGAAATGACAGACTTTAGAGGGTGGCAGGGCTGTCCCTACCCTTATCCAGAGGGAGTTCCAGCCTTCCAGAATCCTGGCTGATAACACACAACCCTCCTGGGGCCAGGAGAAAGGTTGGGGGATGCAGCTCCCATTGTAAAAGCAACCAGGAACATACATGTGCTGAAACATGCCATGCACGTGGGGAATTGAGGGATTAGATATGAAAGGAAACAGAGGGTCTACAGAAGCCACCCAGAGACCAAATTTTATCCCCTAGAAAAGGGTCTCCTTACTTTGCCTTTGTTTCTTTTTCTTTTTCTAATTTGGTGGAACATCCTACTAATTTATAATCATCCTCAAAACGTCTAATTTCTTGCCCGGCCAGTGTGGCTCAGTGGTTGAGCGTCAGTCAACCCATGCACCAAGAAGTCGTGGGTTTGATTCCTGGTCAGGGCACATTCCCAGGTTTCCTGCTCAGTCCCCACTAGGGGGCGTGCAGGAGGCAGCTGATGGATAGTGTTTCTGTCTCTCTCTAACAGTCAATAAAAACATTAAAAAAAACCAAACGTCTCATTTCTCATAGCAAAAGACATAGCTACTTTTTTTTGCATATACTCTTAATAGTATTTAGGGAAATCAGTTAAATGTTATTATTTGGTAAGTTGTCCTTGTTTCTTTTAGTCCCCATAGCAGAAAGCCAGGCATTCTGGGTTTCTTCCCCTGGAAACATAGACACCTCACCCCCCACTAGCCAGGTCCCACAGTGGTCAGAGGGACCCCAGGCCCCACTGGAATCTGGCTCCCCTGATGTTCAGAGAAGTTACTCACCTCTAGTAGTTTTGTCCTGAATGATCAAATCATTTTGTGTTACCCAAAAGAGTTCCTCAGATAAACGGGGGGTAGGATCTGAGCTTCTCCAGCAGGCCTGAGCAAAGAGAGAAAAGTTTCTTTGGGGTGAGGGGAAGTCCATAACTAGTCCCAGCTAAAAGCTGTGCCTGTCCCTCCCCCCATTCCACATGGCATCGCCAGATTCCTCCCCAATTCCCCCTACTTTTTACACAAATGTTCTTAGATGACATCTGTGGGAATGGGTGGGAGCGTCCCCTGGGGATAGGGGAGGGAAACAGGCCCCTTTTGGGCATAGCCCCTAAATTTGAAATTCCCCTCTTAATGGATGTATGGAGCCCACAGGAAGTTTGGGGACAGTTTACCATAGGAAATGTGCAGGATGGGTATGGGGGAGGTCTCCTTGTATCAATCACTAGAAATCAGATGCAGCCACTAAGCTGGAATTCTTTTCCTCTCCCAGGCAGCACTCCAACCCTCACCTCCACCAGCAAGTGGGGAAAACAGAGGCCAAAGGAGGTCAAGCGAACATCCCGGGTCCACACAGTGTCAGAATTAGGATTAGAGCTCGGGGGTCTCTGGTGCAACTTGGATGGAAAATTGCAGCCAGGGCTTCCCTTATTGCCCCGGAGACCCCCCTGCACTCTGAGCGTCCCGTCCTGACTAGCTGGAGGTGATGACCTGGAGCCCTGGTGCCAGCGAGGAAGCTGGGACCTGGAATCACCCCTGGGTTTGCCCTGCTGGGAGGGGATCCTCATTGGGCAGGGAGGTGGCAGCTGCCGGGTGCAATGGGGGGAGAGATATTTTTAGAGGTGGCTGGAAGGCAGGCGCTCTGGCACACCCCCAGCTGGCCGGTTTTTCGCCCCAGCGCTCCAATGCGGGGCTGGGGGTGCGCAGCTCAGGGAGCTGAGGGGACCGGTGGGTGGCCGGGAGCAAGGGAGCACCGGTTCTTTCGCTTTGACCGAGTCGGGGGCGGAGGATACACCGGGGCACCACGTTCCGGGGGGCAGGGGAAAAGGGGGACTCATTCCTCTGTTCCAGAGACTCCCCCACTGACACGCGTGAAGGAGGGCCATCAAAGTCCACGCAGCCCCCACTCCACGCTCGGACCCAAGCCCTCCCCTACCTCGGGGAGCCCAGGACTCACGTGGGGAGCGGCGGCGGCAGAAGTCTGTCCCGGCTGAGTTTGCAGTGTGAAGAGTGGCGCGAGGGGCTAGCTGAGGTGCCTGGGCGCAGGATGGAGCCGGGGGTGCTTACGGGAAGTGGAGGGGACGCGGTCTTATCACCCCCGGATTTCTGGGCTCCGGCTCACGAGTCCCTCCAGTGCGGAGGGGCCGTGGATGATGCGCGTCTGGGCCGTCCCCTCCACCTGCCCTCCATACCCCCGGGGCGGCCGCGTCCCCTTTAAGTGCCGGGGAGCGGGAGCCGGAGCCTCGGCGGGCGCTGCGGCAGCCGCAGCACCCGGGCCCACCGCAGTCCCCGCACGTCACAAGCGACTGTCCAATCACAGCGGCGCCGGCGCACATCAAAGGGCGGGCCACGCCTCCCGGCGGCCCCGGAGGCTCCGCGAGCGCCGGCGTAGGTGGGATTGGGTGGCCCGGGCAAGGGTAGGAGGTGGGGAGGGAGCTTAGCCCTCTGGAGGATCGTGGGTGGGGACACCCGGGTTGGAGTGGTTGCGGGGTTCTGCGTAAGTCCCCGCCCACACACTCTGGAGCGCCAGGGCTGTGGCCCTTCCACGGCCGCTTCCCGGGCTCGGATCCCTGAGATGTGCAGAATGCACCCCCACCTCCAGCTCTCATTCGGTTCTTCGCCCCCAAGCCCAGTGCTAGGCACCGGGTGACCCAGCTCAGGGACAGCAGTTCCTCGGTCCCTCCCCCGCGTGCGTACAGCTCGGTGTCCTCTGCCCTGCAGGCGGAGTCGCAGCGCCCCGTCCTGGCCTTTGGGACCCTTTCCCGGGCTACAGGTTACAGGGGATCGCCGGGAAAGACTCTCCCTCTCCCCAGCCCTGTAAACACTGAGTTGGGGACCGAGCAGTTTGCCCCTTTGCTGGGGCTGTTGTGGCCAAAATACCCACCTTCTCTGCTTCCTAAGGGTCTGCTCGCAGCCACGTTCCCCCGCCGCGCTTCTGCCTTCCAGCCGGGTGGTGAGGAGAGAAGATTCTGTTTAGAGAGGAAAGAGGTGAAGCTTATATTTACCGCGAACATACTATGAACAAGGTACTGTAACTTGGTAGCTGCACTGGCGATTAAACGTTCACAACACTCGGGAGAAATTTTTGCCTGAGTTCAAGCCCATGCACACCTGACTCATGGGATCACAAAGGGGCTGTGTGAGTGGGGGGGATGTAGGTGCCCCCAGGCCTGGTTCTGTTACAGGATAGTAGGAAGCTAGGAAAATTCCAGGACAAGAGGAGTAGGGAAACTAACACCGGTAGTTAAACAGCAGTTCGCAGCCACCTTCCCTAAACTCTTAACGATACTTAAGAATAAATGGGCCCTACCCAGTTTGCTCAGTGGTTAGAGCATCAGCCCGCGGCCTGAAGAGTCCTGGGTTCCAATCCAACCAGGGGCCCTTACCTTGGTTGCCAGTGGTTGCAGGCCAACAGCATGCGGGAGGCCACTCTCACCCATGTTTCATCTTCTGCCTGGCACTCTCTCTGAAAAGCAATGGAAAAAATATCCTCAGGTGAGAATTTTTTAAAAAGTAGCATTTCTCCTCCCCAGCCAGAGGGTAAATAGCTTAAATCACCTTACTCAGGGAGATAGATAACAGAAATCCAATTAGTGCCATTCAAGAAGAGGCAATTAAGATAATAAACCTCATTTTGGTACTTTGCCATTAAAGCTGATGAATATTCTATTGATCCGCCCCTAAGACCTCCCTTAAACCCCCAGCCTTTCAAACCCCTGAAAATGAAGGTCCTAGCAAGTTCTCCCTCCAGGGAGCACACCCATGCCATTCCCTTCCCCTTCCCCCACAGGCACATATCCCCTGACCGCTAAGGGCCCCCATGAGACTTGGAATCAGGGGAGCAAGTGGGCAGCAGCAGCTCATCCCAGGCTAACCCCTTGAACCTGCCTCCAAGGCCCCCTTCTCTTCTCTTTGACTCCCCCATGAGCCAAAGCCGCCCAGCCTGGGCTCTCCTGTGGCTTCTTCTATGCCCTTCCTTGTTTCACTGTCCCAAGTGTATTTTTGCTGCGGCCAATAAATTCCTGCTTGCTTTTCTACACTTTGTGTCTTGATTGAAATCTTCAAGAACACAAGAACCGAGGTCTCGTCTTGCTGGTAACAGTCCTACCTTAAGTCCTCCGTTTCCCCTGCTCCACTCCTTAAAGACAGCCAGCAAATTTAAAGGCCCTGAGTGATCTGAAAGCCAGTGGGGCTGGAAACCAGAGGAAGTGAGGGTCTGCAAGGAATGACCCTAATCTCTGTGCCAGGGGCTGGGGGTACAAGTCTTCAACAGGGCACAGGTTTGTTACCAGAAGGGGGACCTGGCCCTGAGTGGGTCTGCCTAGGGCCAGCCCATGTGTGGGTTCTTGACTTTGTGCAGGTAAAATTTCATGACACGAATGCATGTGAATTTTAGAGGTCGTTTATTAAAGCTGGGGGCAGTGAAACAAGGAAGGGCTGGCAAAATGAGCCTAGGCTGGTCTACTTTGGTTCACTAAGAAGTCAGAGAAAAGAAAAGGGGGCCTTGGGGACAGGTTCAGGGGATTAGCACGGGATGAACTGCCACTGCTCATTGCTGCCCTGACTGCAAGCCTCGTGGGGTCCCTTGGAGTTTTGGAGATGCAGGCCTGTGGGGAAAGGGTGGGGAGGGGAAGGCGTGGGCATGCTCCAGAGAGGGAGAGAGCCTGCTGAGGCCTTCTTTTTGAGGGGTTTTAAAGGCTGGATGTTTAGGAGAGTCTTAGGGGAGTCTCTCAATAGAATATTCATCAGCTTTATGCTGATGTACCAAAATGAGGTTTATTTCCTTAACTTCATCTGCCCTTGGGTGTGGTTGGTAATTGGCACTAATTGGATTTCTGCTCTCTGTCTCTCTGAGTGGGGTGATTTAAGCTATTTAGCTATTTACCCTGTGGTTTACTCTTAAGTGTCTTTGGTTTAGGGGAGATAGGATTTACTAGATGGATTTACTGCTTGGCATCTAGATTTTCCAAATGGCTGCAAACTTCTGTTTAACTGTCTCAGTTTCCCTAGTCTGCTTGTCCTGGCTAACTAGCCTGTCTCATTTCCACATATGCAAAGGGAAACAAATGCGTTAAAGCTGTCAACCTGATCCTAAAAACTCTTGACAGTAATCCCCAGTGCCCAGCTCCTGAAACTGGCTTGTTGTTTCACTTCACCTCAGGCCTGTCTTCACGCTTCACCATTTCTTCCAGCTCACCAACACATCCTGCTCTTTCCTTGGGACCTCCCTCCTCAGAACACGCCTGTCCCATTTGCTGGTCCAGCTCAGCCTTGACATCATCTCTTGCCCTGTTATACACCCCAACGCTCTTTTTAGTACACTAATCACATGTGTGCTGCCAGAGCACATAGTAGGAGCTGTAAATATTTTCCCATGTATCAGTCCATGTAATCCTCACCATCTTATGACTTTGGTGTATGGCTCATTTTATCGTTGAGAAATCGAGGCACAGAGAGTTGAGCTGGCCCAGGGTCACCCAGCTGGTAAATGGTAGAGCCGGGCTTCCAACCTGGTTGCCTTAAGTGTTACCTACACCATCCCTCATGTTCAGTGTCCGCCACCCCTACTCGCCCGGAAGCAACATGAGGGCGGAGATCATGTTCTATTTATTTATTTATTTTAAATATTTTAATTTATTTTTAGAGAGAGAGGAAGGGAGAAAGAAAAATCGATTGTGAGAGCAAAATATCAAACCGGCAGCCTCTCGGTACATGGGATGATGTTCCACCAACTGAGCCACACAGGCCAGGCTGTTTTATTTATTAATTTCCCTCTAGCCTCTAGCATATAGACATATAGACCCTGCACACAGGTATTTTTTTAAAAGCACATTATTTTATTTATTATTTTAAAATCCTCACCCGAGGGTATTTTTTCCATTG